TGTTGCAGCTTTCACTGAGAAGATGTCTTGCGGATAAGGGATGTACAATTTGTTCCTCAGCACTGTTTTAAGACGTCGACCTAACGCGTCTCCTCCTTTTTTGGCAACACCAAAACACCTGGATCCATCAGCCAATTCCACGCAGTGCGTCTCGGCCTGGAAACTTTCATCAAGCTTCCGAAACTTCCCGATGTCGGTGATTATATGCGACGTCGCACCAGCGTCCACCATCAGACCTCTCCTCTTGATGTCGTCCACTCGCGTGTCAGCGTCGCTCACCCGGAAAGCAAACTCTCTGTCGCCGCCCGCATTTGAATACTTAGTTGGTTCCTTTTTAGTCTTGAAGTTGAAATATTTTCAAAGTGACTCATCTCAGTTAAAATAAGTCATTAATAACTTATATATAAGTATGTATCACTTCCACCTCTTCTTCTTTTTGGCAATTAAGAGTTCGTCGCACTGCTGTGTGAAGTCAGCTTTAATGAAACTCTTTAAAGTCGTTCTTATTACAGCTTCAGTTTCCCTGACACCAACACCACCGTCGAACTAAAAACACAACGTAAACTTTGTGAGATGGTGTCAAGAATACAATATCGATATAAAAATAACATAAAACATATAAACATACCTCGCTGGCTAACCCTTCCTTTTGAGGTAGAAATGAGGTCATTCAGTAAATTCTTACACTTAAATCATGCTTCATTTGCTTGCCAACGCGATGCTGTTATATCGCAAGCGTCTCTGGTAACCTGGTAACCAGACGCTTCTACATCTACTTCCTACCTTAAACCTTCAAAATAAGAGTCTTAAAAAAAGTATAAATAATACAAAATAAAACCTATAAATTAAAACTTTGGCAGTAAAAGTATGTATTTTATGTATTATAACTATATATTATATGAACTAGCAATGTAGGTAGCTAATTTACATTTAAATACTATAAAAATACTATAATGAAGACTTAGAAATCTATTTTGTTTTTATATTTCTATATCATATATCACCGACACGGCGCTGGAATTGAAAAATTCAGGGCTTCAAGGAAAAGAATAACGAAGATGCCCGCAAAGAAAATCACAGACATCTCAATGAGATCGCAAAGCACTGGGCCTCGTCTACTGACAACGCAGTGGACGTCGCGCGTCGTCTTTTGTTTTCTAACATTTAGAAACATCGGCCGAATTAATAAATAAGGCTGTCTCAAATGGCAATGTTAATAATCTCATTATTTGGTTGGAGGTTAGTTGTTCTGGATTCAGTTTAAGAGAGTCGGTGCTTCATTCTGACCTTTTCCTGAACGCCAGAGGTTCAGTTTCCTTCTCCTCATTTTTTCTGAATCTTCCCTTTAAATGTTAGGGATTGGAGAGATGGTATTAAAAGAAAGGCAATATTTATGTTTTTGTAAAAATGCTAAAGCGAACTGCATAGTTTTTACAAGAAACTCACTGATGAGGCTGATGAGAGGTCCAATCAGAGGGAAAAGTTATTGAGCGCAGAGGGCCTACATTCAAAGACTCTGTTCAGGCGGTCGATGACGTCAATGGGTGATGTAAATGACGTCACCCACTGACGTCATTAACATTGAAGGATCCTTGAATTAGTATCCCATCTAAGGATGACGTCACCAGCGACCAGCTGAGCCAATCAGAAGCAGGTGACCACCCACTGCCCATTAACTACAGGGATTGAATACTTAGTTGCTTTTTTCTTTTTAATTATTAAACACTTTGAACAATTTTACAAGATCACGTGTCATGCACTTAAGTAATAAAATCTTACAGGCTAAAGACACACACATCATTTTAAGACAATAACATCATAAAAAAATTGTTCAATAAAAATAAATGAATAAAATGTGGAATACTTTCCATTTTGGTAAAAGGAGAATTTAAGGTTCTCCACACATAAGGTCACATATAAAATACATACTTATATAATGTATAAGTTATTAATGACTTATTTTAACTGAGATGAGTCGCTTTGAAAATAATTCAACTTCAAGACTAAAAAGGAACCAACTAAGTGTTCAAATGCTATAGTTAATGAGCAGTGGGCGGTCGCCTGCTCCTGATTGGCTCAGCTGTTCACTGGTCACGTTTTCCTTGAATGGAAAACTCCAACCCAGAATCAACGTCACCGATTGGCGTCATTGACCGCCTGAACAGAGTCTTTGAATGTAGACCCTCTGCGCTCATTTGGTCACTAACCATTTGCTTTGTCTTTCAGGTAAAAACTTAAAAAACACTAAAAACCTTAAAGATAGGATAGGTTATCCTTTCTTAAACGATCAAGCATCGATATGCAGGATCAACAGATCATGTTTAGTCCGGGTCTTTATTTACAGTCATGTATGTAAAGGAGGATGATATTTGCTCCCTTGACTCTGGTTCTGATCCGCTGCTCCCTAAACAACCGGACACTTTTTATACTTTTTCTTCTTCCTCCCAGCATCTAAACGTTGCTTTCTACTGCAGTATTTTTCAACCTTTTTTGAGCCTAGGCACATTGTTTTCATTGAAAGAATCAAGCGGCACACCACCAACCAAAAATCTAAACACATGAAAATAATAAATAATAATAATAATAATAATAATATATGGTCGTTCTTATCAAAGTGTCTTGAATTTGAATTTGTATCATATTTTATATTAGATATTTCAAATTGCACTTAACATGTCTATGTTGCGTTTGTGTTTTCTTGATCTGCACTCATCATCACAATGAACCACACTTCTTTTCTTAGATAGCTGTGTTCTTTTATTTGTGGAACGGTCAGGCACAGAGAAAACTTTTCTTCGTCTAATTCTTTTTAGAACAGTGCTGCATATATATAAAATCTCGCTCTCACTGCCCCCAGTGGCCAACAACAGTACAACATGCACATAAACAGAATGACAGGATACAGAACAAAGCTGTACCTTATGTAACAGAGTTTATGTTGTAGAATCCCACTTGCTTTATATATTATCAGTGCAATGGGAAATAGCGCCTCCTCTCTGTGTGGCTGGTTATATGTTGCTGGCCTCTGTAATCAGTGGCAGTCTATGGAAGCTGCACGAGAGGTGAGTTTCATTCCTCAGCACACAGCACGGAAAAGTGTTAGAAACACATAAAGTATCATTCTTAAAAACTTACATCAATAGTGTGCAACTACTATTTATGATTTGTGTGCCTGGCATCAATTTTGCACTTTTAGTTTTGTTAATATTTTGTAAAACACTTTCTGTGCTAAATTAAAGTCAACATGACGCTCTGTTGTAGTGTGCTGAGGGAAGCTGAACCATTGCATTGATTCCAACCCGATCTGTTCTCATTCAGGAAATAAACTGCCTGTTCACCCAGAACTCCTGGTCTTCATTAAAACATCTACACAACACAGAGTCGAGGGGTTACTTGGGTCGGCCTGGTACAGTGGTGTGAAGCAGAACCCGGTTACACTTACAAAGGAAAATCAGTAAACATGAACACATAACACAAGATAACTTAAAGACAGGTTAAGATGAGAACATTTTCCAACAGTCTACTTCAAAAGTGCGCCTGATCAGTGGCACAACAATTTAAATTTAAGACCACATTGTTCACACGACTAATTCTGACCACAAGCAATCTCTCAGCCAGAATATAGAAAATAATTCCTTTTCTGAGAGAAGCAATAATATTTAGAAAAGAAAAAGCTCACGGTATTTGCCTTCCGTTGATATTCACTCATACTAAGTTCTTCATCTGGGTCTGAAATTAGCTTTTTTCTTTTCAAAACTTTTCCATCACTGTCATCACAGTCTTGCTTGGTACAATGCTCTCACCGCTTCCTGTCACATTCATGCATCACTAATTCTCTTGTTTTAACGTACAGTGCTGTGTACCTACTGCCATCCTGTCATCAGGAAATTACATGATGACGCCGCTAGTCACTATACAACACAGACTCTCGGAAATGGCATATTATTTGCAGTCAATTTGTTTTCAAAAAATCGTTTTAGACCAATTTAGTGAAATTGAATAAATTCAACGGGACACTAGTTGAAAAACACTGTTCTACTGCAACGTGTAGATATGTATAAATATATATATTGAAAACATCATAGTAATTTTTTTATCCAATCTTTGTTATCTCCGATAATTTAGTCACTTTCTGTTTTCTTTCTCGTATCTATATTTGTATTTGCAATAAACTAAATATTCTACTATCGTATCTAATGCAGTTTATTAAATTGCACTCTAAAAAGAAAAAAGTTGATCCAACTTAATTGAATTACTTCTGTAGGTAACAAGTAATTCAATTAAGTTGGATCAACATAATTTTTTTAGTTTGTTTAACTTGATAAATTTAGGTCAGTCTAACGCAATTTATTTACTTTATTTCATATACAAATGTTTAATCCATCTTACTTAAATTTATAGAAAGTCAACTCAAAAATGTAAGTTGTTCTAAGTTAAAAAATGAAACTACCCCAAAGTCGTTTATGCATATTTTGTACTTACAATAATGCTTAAATATAAATCACTTTTAAAGTATGTTTTAGCTTTTACAATAGCAGTAAAATTCCTTTACACTACCCAAAAATTCAACTTGGTTATAACAAATCTACACTGCACAAATAGAAAATGTTAAATTTTATTGTGAAATCACAAACTTACAGATTTTTCACAACACATTTTGCACTGAACATACTACACAGATCTTTTGCTTGTCTGCTTAATTGAGTTAGCTTTTAGTAAACTGAACATGGGGTACCCCAAGTCCAGTTCTGGAGAGCTACCATCCTCCAACTTTCAGATGAATCCAATCTCCAAATAAAATTAAGTGCTCATTACTATGCCTCTGCTCAGCTGAGTGTCTGCTGGTGTGTAAATTCAGCAAGGTGGTATTGAAATAGTCCATCTGACATTTGCACATTGATGGCTCTCCAGGACAAACTTTGGACATCCCTGTGTGAGCTTGTAGAATCCAGATGTATTCCTCTGAAAAACAATGTTTTTCAGATTTACCACAAGTCGTCCTAAAATAAAGGAAATCAACATTCTCAATCCCTAAACTGTTTTTACATAAAATGTAAGAACATGTGTGTCTGTTTTTAACATCTTCAAGAACAAACTGAAAACAAGCAATAACATCTACATGCTTTCAAACAAGGTTGTGGGGTCATGGCTTGCAGCATTTAAACCATCTCCGATACTTAAGTTAACTGACATCAGAACAGAATAGTAAACATTAAGCACTGCTTAATCCAAATTGAAAAAAAAATATGAAAAAAACACTGTGAAAGTGTCTGTGAACAATACTACAGCAGCCTACTAATGCTGTGGCTTTAATATGCACAATGTCCCAAAAGAAATTCAAAAAGTTCAGTCCCTTGAGGTTAAGCTTCCAAAACACAGCCCCCTCATGTTCAAACAAAGACAGAAAATAATCTGTCATTTTGCACAACATACAATTGTCTTTACTGAGAGGTCTGAAGTCTTCCAAACAAATTCTGAACTTTAGGAGACATTTTGTGTTGGTCAAGTTGCATGAAGATTTTTTGAAACACTTCAAATGTGAAGCGCAGAGGCTTCGGATAAGCCAGGTTAAGGGCATATATCAAACCCAGAAGCAGGGCACATGCTGAGGCAACTGAAGTCAGGTCATGCAACACCTCCACTCCCTCAATGACAATGCCAATGTCTTCTGGGGATTCTTCCAATCCCTCTCCCTTCTTCCGAATCACAAATATTGCCAGGGTGAGTTGTTTGAGATCCATCTGGGCATCATCTCCACAGCTGCCCTGTAGTGAGATAAACCATATGTTAAACTTGAAGACTGTAACTAATCTGTCAGTTGACAAATAAAAGCCTTATAAATGCAAGCATTAAGTACAAGTGTACAGCTTGTGAATTGAAGAGAATCGTTTATGGCATCTGAAATATCCTTGATAAATTTTCCAAGTTCAAAGTTGCATTAAAAATTGAATAACTCAAAGGGTGATTTTTAAGGTTTTTAGAAAAGATAATACAAGGATGTAACTTTATATGTGTTTTGTCATATTGCAGGTTTTAGCTTAAACAAATTCATAGATTATACATCAAAGCAGAATAGTAGTCCAAGCCAATGGTCATCTTAGGTTGGAAATCAACACAAAATGCATATTTCTGTTACTTATCAGATATTTTGGAGCTGGTATGAAAATAGCATGACTAAAACATTCTTATTAACTTGTTTGTTATATTGGTGAACAGGAAATGAAGTTGATAGTGAAGTTAGATAATGGTCTTTGCTGAATAGCAAAGCACACCACTGTTGGATTTAAGCAGGACATAACCATGTTAAATTTACAATTCTGACACCAAATCTGCCTGATGTATTAAAACAGATGTTTAAATATAGAAAATGCAGGCCAGAATAATTTAAAAAGGTACAAGCAACTGACATTGAATTTTTCAATTTTCCTGAATGGGTTAAGATGCGGCTTCAAACCTTTAAAAGAAACTTACACTGTATTCCTTAATAAGGTCTTCTGGATCCTCTCCAAGAAAGGTGATGAGCCCTTTCAGAACACATTCCCTTCGAATCCCAATGTCCTCCACCTGGAGAAAATGTATTGTTATCAATATTCCATATCTCTGACAAGATTTCTGATGTAACAGTAATATATTCAAATACCATAATGTGCAGCCCACATGTCCACCGGGTTAATAATGCTCTTCAAAATTATGCAAATTCCACCTCTGCCAAAATTTATGCTTCAAGTCTCAATTTGTGAAACTAGACTATTGTTGAGGTTAAGGCTTTTTCTTAGCACAATCTACTAGGACTAATGAATATCATTTGTTGTTTGTATTTTATCTTGCAGCATAAAATTGATATAAGTCTACCATTTAAAAAATTAAAATTTTAAAATAAGCTCAAAAAAATGTACTAAATAGCACTAATTTCTGGCAAGTTGGACAGAAAGGTGTATTTTATGAAATTCATGAATGAACCACAATACAGACTAACTAAATCCACTAAAAATACATAAGACAGTTACTTGCTTTTCTTTGAGTGATATCACCTTTGCACAAAGTGTATCAAGTATTAATAATTAAAACAAAAAGTCTGAAAGTAATTAGAGACTTTAACTTCTTTGTTTTAAATTAAAAATGGTAAATGTCCCCCAGTGTTCCTATCGATGATCCATACCTCATCATAGATTCTCATGATTCCAGCTATTTTTGCACGTGTTGCTCCTCCCTTGGCTTTGATGACTTTAATCAGCTGACTTGAGAGCCTGTCCAACTGGGCAAAGAAAGTCTGCTCAAGGGGAAGAGCCATGAGTCTCAGGAACTCCGCATTAATCTGAGAAACAAAATAAAACTTATTTTGTATCTTACAAAATGACTTAAAGTAAATACTGACCAATCATTCCAAAATCTAAGTAAAAATCCTCAATCTGCATTACTACCTCTTTCTGTTGGAACAGGGCAGGCCATCTGTCCTTGAAATCCTCTATGCCAGGTTCTTCATTCACCACCTCCTGACGCCTGTAGGCAAAGGTATGAGCCATTTTCTCCGCAATGACCTTGTCATTGTTCCTCCTTTTGATTGCTGTCAAGAGTTCAATTCTCTCTTTTTCCATACTTTCTTGTGTTTCTCCACTGGAAAGGAAGGATAGAAGTTGGCTTCAGCTCGTCTTGGCTTCTTTATTTTTGCAGCGGGAAACACTGAAGTACTGGCTTTGGATTTAAGTGCGTTAACAGACAATTCTGGACATCCTGAAACTTGAGTAGAGTCCTGTAGTTTCCCATTTTGTACTTCAGCCTTTGTTTCCAACCGTAGCAACCATTGAATGAACCAGGCTCTTTTAAACATGGATGTTTTTTAATCAAGGCCTCTGCAACTACACAGAACTGTGCGTCCTCTGGATAGGCTCTGTATCTGTAGATCTCTTCTACTAATCTATTTAGGATGTCAGTCTTCATTCGTGGGGTGACTGTCAATATTTTGTTTTTTGCCTGATACTCAGAATTCCCCTTCTGTAGCTGACGTTCAGTGTCATACGAAAACATGGGAATGGGAAAGTTGGCTGGCCATTGTTTTGTTCGCGATGAGAAGGATTCAGGGGAGGAGAGGAGTATAGTGTCATTTGAAGCTAAAGAACTGCTGTCATCTGAGTGAACTGCAGAAGAAGATGGAGCTGTTTCAATGACATCAACAAAAGGTTGAACTGCTTCTTCTTGAATCACCTTGACTGTTCCCAAGTCCACAAGGTCAGAAGTTGAGCTGAGGTTGAAGAAGTCATTACCAAAGTCTTTGTCCATATATTGCAGTCTGATGTTGGTCTTTAAACCAAAGGTATCCTTCACCTTGCTGAGAAGATCATCCAGAGAATCTGGTATGCCATTTGAAAGAGTCAGTTTTTCAGTGTTGCTCTCTCCTAGAATCACCTTCAGTCTTGCAGGTTTTGAACTTGCCATGGCAATCTGAAAAAAGGGCATAAAGATGGCTCCACTGGATGTAGAGGAGCAACAGCTCTAATCTCAGCCTCTCCGAGATGACTGAGCTTCTGACCCCATGTTGAGTGAGAGCTCATCAACCCTTTGGAGGAAATTAATTTCATCTCGTTCTTTGACCACCTATTATTCCTTTTACTTTAAATGATGTTATTTATCGAAACTATTTTTGAATTAGTTTAGAGTATATGTTTTTCATATTATTGATACAATACAGCATATTAACTAATAACTTAACTTTTTTTTCTAAATTAGAAGCTTAGTGAAGCAAATATGGCTTACCTTCTATGGTCTGATGATGCTTGGCTCCAGGCCTGGAGAGTGGGAAAGAGAAATTAACTCAAAGTTCCTACAAACATGAATTGCTTATTTTGTTTTTTGCTTTTTAAGAAAAATGACATCTTATGGATTATTAGCGCAGTCAGGATATTATGCGTTTTATATCATGTCGTCAGTAAGCAGGCTGACAATTGGAACAAATGGCTTCCCTGACTGCAGCTCACGGTGACAAGTGACAAGCAGAGCGCAGTTGCGTCACATTAAATTAGTTTTGCGTATAACACTAACACCTCCGTAACTGTACGTTAAGATTACCCATAAAAAATCAACCTGTCCAGTAGTTCTTGTTATAAAATCTGGCCACCACTGCAGTGCATTAGCTGCTCCCACACTTTGACCCAGTCTAGCTTCCGAAACACGCCAGCAGTTCTCGGTCCACCAGCACCAGCCCTGAACGTCTCCAGTCTAAATCACATTTCATGTTTTTCACTACATACCCGGCTTCCAGCTATTTAAGTTCTTTAGGGTCAAATAAAAAGTACACACTCAAAATAAACGTTCACTAACTAACAGAGCAGTTAAGTTCAAACATGAATAGCGCGGCAAATTACAACTAGCAAATGTGTTCAAAGCAAATAACTGATGATACTTCGACGTTAAAAACAGTTAACTGTTTCAAATTAAAGGTAGAAAAAGTCATTAATATTTTTACACCGTTTAAATAATATTTTGCCATGATGTGTAGAATACTTACTGTTTTACAATCCGGTGGACAGTCGATGGTCAGAAGAAATGGCGGCTGCACAAGCGGTCGGTACAAGAAGTGGATCTGTCTCGGGCAAAGCTTGCGTAATGACGTCAGACGTAAAACTGCATTCAACTTAATTGGTTCACGTCAACTCAAAGTTAACCGTTTGTTTTAGATGAAATGTGTGTCTTTTAAGTTAATTGAACTCATGAAAGTAAGTTGACATAACTAAAGCCAAACAATTAAGTCAGGTTAATGTAAAAAAGGCCATAACATTAACTACAGCCCAAATACACTTTTTAGAGTGTGACCACTGCAGGAATTATGAACAGTCTTAAAATAAGCCGAAATAAATTTGACAACAATGTCAATATCACAGTCAAACTAAGAAGAAAACGAACTCTGCCCAGATTTGAAAATATTTTACTTGGAATATAGAACCATAAATCCTTTTAATTTAAAAAAATACCGAAGCCAATTTATTTTTAAAGTGTCGTTCGTTCAATCAAATTGAAAAGCTTGCAGTCGTCCATCTTCAAACTGATTACATTACATTTTCTTATTAAGGGAGATTTATGTTTCCATAGAAAAATAATAATCCTGTTGTTGGAATTAATTGCAGAAATGTGTATTCCTAATGTATGTGCAGTGTAGGTAAATCTGGAAATACTTTCCATTTTGGTGAAAAATATTCTACGCAGAATAGATAAATCTCTGCTATTACAGGCCCAACCTTTCCTAGGGGGCAGTAGAGAGCAACGTGTGGACGCTGCAGCGAGCAGAACCGATACGAGTTTGTTTCCAGAGTCCAGTGATCAAATATCATCCTCCTTTACATACATGACTGTAAATAAAGACCGGACTAAACATGATCTTTGATCCTGCATATCGATGCTTGATCATTTAAGAAAGGATAACCTATCCTATCTTTAAGGTTTTTAGTGTTTTTTAAGTTTTTACCTGAAAGACAAAGCAAATGGTTAGTGACCAAATGAGCGCAGAGGGTCTACATTCAAAGACTCTGTTCAGGCGGTCAATGACGCCAATCGGTGACGTTGATTCTGGGTTGGAGTTTTCCATTCAAGGAAAACGTGACCAGTGAACAGCTGAGCCAATCAGGAGCAGGCGACCGCCCACTGCTCATTAACTATAGCATTTGAATACTTAGTTGGTTCCTTTTTAGTCTTGAAGTTGAATTATTTTCAAAGCGACTCATCTCAGTTAAAATAAGTCATTAATAACTTATACATTATATAAGTATGTATTTTATATGTGACCTTATGTGTGGAGAACCTTAAATTCTCCTTTTACCAAAATGGAAAGTATTCCACATTTTATTCATTTATTTTTATTGAACAATTTTTTTATGATGTTATTGTCTTAAAATGATGTGTGTGTCTTTAGCCTGTAGGATTTTATTACTTAAGTGCATGACACGTGATCGTGTAAAATTGTTCAAAGTGTTTAATAATTAAAAAGAAAAAAGCAACTAAGTATTCAATCTCTGTAGTTAATGAGCAGGGCGGTCACCTGCTTCTGATTGGCTCAGCTGGTCACTGGTGACGTCATCCTTAAATGGGATACGAATTCAAGTATCCTTCAATGTTAATGACGTCAGTGGGTGACGTCATTTACGTCACCCATTGACGTCATCGACCGCCTGAACAGAGTCTTTGAATGTAGGCCCTCTGCGCTCAATAACTTTTCCTCTCCATTGATTGGACCAGAAGCTCTCATCAGCCTCATCAGTGAGTTTCTTGTAAAAACTATGCAGTTCGCTTTAGCATTTTTACAAAAACATAAATATTGCCTTTCTTTTAATACCATCTCTCCAACCCCTAACATTTAAAGGGAAGATTCAGAAAAAATGAGGAGAAGGAAACTGAACCTCTGGCGTTCAGGAAAAGGTCAGAATGAAGCACCGACTCTCTTAAACTGAATCCAGAACAACTGACCTCCAACCAAATAACGAGATTATTAACATTGCCATTTGAGACAGCCTTATTTATTAATTCGGCCGATGTTTCTAAATGTTAGAAAACAAAGACGACGCGCGACGTCCACTGCGTTGTCAGTAGACGAGGCCCAGTGCTTTGCGATCTCATTGAGATGTCTGTGATTTTCTTTGCGGGCATCTTCGTTATTCTTTTCCTTGAAGCCCTGAATTTTTCAATTCCAGCGCCGTGTCGTTGATATATGATATAGAAATATAAAACAAAATAGATTTCTAAGTCTTCATTATAGTATTTTTATAGTATTTAAATGTAAATTAGCTACCTACATTGCTAGTTCATATAATATATAGTTACAATACATAAAATACATACTTTTACTGCCAAAGTTTTAATTTATAGGTTTTATTTTGTATTATTTATACTTTTTGTTAAGACTCTTATTTTGAAGGTTTAAGGTAGGAAGTAGATAGAAGCGTCTGGTTACCAGGTTACCAGAGACGCTTGCGATATAACAGCATCGCGTTGGCAAGCAAATGAAGAAACATGATTTAAGTGTAAGAATTTACTGAATGACCTCATTTCTACCTCAAAAGGAAGGGTTAGCCAGCGAGGTATGTTTATATGTTTTATGTTATTTTTTATATCGATATTGTATTCTTGACACCATCTCACTAAGTTTACGTTGTGTTTTAGTTCGACGGTGGTGTTGGTGTCAGGGAAACTGAAGCTGTAATAAGAACAACTTTAAAGAGTTTCATTAAAGCTGACTTCACACCAGCAGTGCGACGAACTCTTAATTGCCAAAAAGAAGAAGAGGTGGAAGTGATACATACTTATATATAAGTTATTAATGACTTATTTTAACTGAGATGAGTCACTTTGAAAATATTTCAACTTCAAGACTAAAAAGGAACCAACTAAGTATTCAAATGCGGGCGGCGACAGAGAGTTTGCTTTCCGGTGAGCGACGCTGACACGCGAGTGGACGACATCAAGAGGAGAGGTCTGATGGTGGACGCTGGTGCGACGTCGCATATAATCACCGACATCGGGAAGTTTCGGAAGCTTGATGAAAGTTTCCAGGCCGAGACGCACTGCGTGGAATTGGCTGATGGATCCAGGTGTTTTGGTGTTGCCAAGGAAGGAGGAGACGCGTTAGGTCGACGTCTTGCAGTGCTGAGGAACAAATTGTACATCCCTTCATATCCGCAAGACATCTTCTCAGTGAAAGCTGCAACATCCAGCGGAGCAACGGTGATCTTCAAAGAAGAAAAGAACGTTCTTCTCAGAGACGATACCAAGGATGTCAGTCTTCATTCGTGGGGTGACTGTCAATATTTTGTTTTTTTGCCTGATACTCAGAATTCCCCTTCTGTAGCTGACGTTCAGTGTCATACGAAAACATGGGAATGGGAAAGTTGGCTGGCCATTGTTTTGTTCGCGATGAGAAGGATTCAGGGGAGGAGAGGAGTATAGTGTCATTTGAAGCTAAAGAACTGCTGTCATCTGAGTGAACTGCAGAAGAAGATGGAGCTGTTTCAATGACATCAACAAAAGGTTGAACTGCTTCTTCTTGAATCACCTTGACTGTTCCCAAGTCCACAAGGTCAGAAGTTGAGCTGAGGTTGAAGAAGTCATTACCAAAGTCTTTGTCCATATATTGCAGTCTGATGTTGGTCTTTAAACCAAAGGTATCCTTCACCTTGCTGAGAAGATCATCCAGAGAATCTGGTATGCCATTTGAAAGAGTCAGTTTTTCAGTGTTGCTCTCTCCTAGAATCACCTTCAGTCTTGCAGGTTTTGAACTTGCCATGGCAATCTGAAAAAAGGGCATAAAGATGGCTCCACTGGATGTAGAGGAGCAACAGCTCTAATCTCAGCCTCTCCGAGATGACTGAGCTTCTGACCCCATGTTGAGTGAGAGCTCATCAACCCTTTGGAGGAAATTAATTTCATCTCGTTCTTTGACCACCTATTATTCCTTTTACTTTAAAATGATGTTATTTATCGAAACTATTTTTGAATTAGTTTAGAGTATATGTTTTTCATATTATTGATACAATACAGCATATTAACTAATAACTTAACTTTTTTTTCTAAATTAGAAGCTTAGTGAAGCAAATATGGCTTACCTTCTATGGTCTGATGATGCTTGGCTCCAGGCCTGGAGAGTGGGAAAGAGAAATTAACTCAAAGTTCCTACAAACATGAATTGCTTATTTTGTTTTTTGCTTTTTTAAGAAAAATGATCTTAGGATTATTAGCGCAGTCAGGATATTATGCGTTTTATATCATGTCGTCAGTAAGCAGGCTGACAATTGGAACAAATGGCTTCCCTGACTGCAGCTCACGGTGACAAGTGACAAGCAGAGCGCAGTTGCGTCACATTAAATTAGTTTTGCGTATAACACTAACACCTCCGTAACTGTACGTTAAGATTACCCATAAAAAATCAACCTGTCCAGTAGTTCTTGTTATAAAATCTGGCCACCACTGCAGTGCATTAGCTGCTCCCACACTTTGACCCAGTCTAGCTTCCGACCGGAACACGCCAGCAGTTCTCGGTCCACCAGCACCAGCCCTGAACGTCTCCAGTCTAAATCACATTTCATGTTTTTCACTACATACCCGGCTTCCAGCTATTTAAGTTCTTTAGGGTCAAATAAAAAGTACACACTCAAAATAAACGTTCACTAACTAACAGAGCAGTTAAGTTCAAACATGCCGAATAGCGCGGCAAATTACAACTAGCAAATGTGTTCAAAGCAAATAACTGATGATACTTCGACGTTAAAAACAGTTAACTGTTTCAAATTAAAGGTAGAAAAAGTCATTAATATTTTTACACCGTTTAAATAATATTTTGCCATGATGTGTAGAATACTTACTGTTTTACAATCCGGTGGACAGTCGATGGTCAGAAGAAATGGCGGCTGCACAAGCGGTCGGTACAAGAAGGATCTGTCTCGGGCAAAGCTTGCGTAATGACGTCAGACGTAAAACTGCATTCAACTTAATTGGTTCACGTCAACTCAAAGTTAACCGTTTGTTTTAGATGAAATGTGTGTCTTTTAAGTTAATTGAACTCATGAAAGTAAGTTGACATAACTAAAGCCAAACAATTAAGTCAGGTTAATGTAAAAAAGGCCATAACATTAACTACAGCCCAAATACACTTTTTAGAGTGTGACCACTGCAGGAATTATGAACAGTCTTAAAATAAGCCGAAATAAATTTGACAACAATGTCAATATCACAGTCAAACTAAGAAGAAAAACGAACTCTGCCCAGATTTGAAAATATTTTACTTGGAATATAGAACCATAAATCCTTTTAATTTAAAAAAAAGACCGAAGCCAATTTATTTTTAAAGTGTCGTTCGTTCAATCAAATTGAAAAGCTTGCAGTCGTCCATCTTCAAACTGATTACATTACATTTTCTTATTAAGGGAGATTTATGTTTCCATAGAAAAATAATAATCCTGTTGTTGGAATTAATTGCAGAAATGTGTATTCCTAATGTATGTGCAGTGTAGGTAAATCTGGAAATACTTTCCATTTTGGTGAAAAATATTCTACGCAGAATAGATAAATCTCTGCTATTACAGGCCCAACCTTTCCTAGGGGGCAGTAGAGAGCAACGTGTGGACGCTGCAGCGAGCAGAACCGATACGAGTTTGTTTCCAGAGTCCAGTGATCAAATATCATCCTCCTTTACATACATGACTGTAAATAAAGACCCGGACTAAACATGATCTGTTGATCCTGCATATCGATGCTTGATCATTTAAGAAAGGATAACCTATCCTATCTTTAAGGTTTTTAGTGTTTTTTTAAGTTTTTACCTGAAAGACAAAGCAAATGGTTAGTGACCAAATGAGCGCAGAGGGTCTACATTCAAAGACTCTGTTCAGGCGGTCAATGACGCCAATCGGTGACGTTGATTCTGGGTTGGAGTTTTCCATTCAAGGAAAACGTGACCAGTGAACAGCTGAGCCAATCAGGAGCAGGCGACCGCCCACTGCTCATTAACTATAGCATTTGAATACTTAGTTGGTTCCTTTTTAGTCTTGAAGTTGAATTATTCAAAGCGACTCATCTCAGTTTAAAATAAGTCATTAATAACTTATACATTATATAAGTATGTATTTTATATGTGACCTTATGTGTGGAGAACCTTAAATTCTCCTTTTACCAAAATGGAAAGTATTCCACATTTTATTCATTTATTTTTATTGAACAATTTTTTTATGATGTTATTGTCTTAAAATGATGTGTGTCTTTAGCCTGTAGGATTTTATTACTTAAGTGCATGACACGTGATCCTGTAAATTGTTCAAAGTGTTTAATAATTAAAAGAAAAAAGCAACTAAGTATTCAATCTCTGTAGTTAATGAGCAGTGGGCGGTCACCTGCTTCTGATTGGCTCAGCTGGTCACTGGTGACGTCATCCTTAAATGGGATACGAATTCAAGTATCCTTCAATGTTAATGACGTCAGTGGGTGACGTCATTTACGTCACCCATTGACGTCATCGACCGCCTGAACAGAGTCTTTGAATGTAGGCCCTCTGCGCTCAATAACTTTTCCTCTCCATTGATTGGACCAGAAGCTCTCATCAGCCTCATCAGTGAGTTTCTTGTAAACTATGCAGTTCGCTTTAGCATTTTTACAAAAACATAAATATTGCCTTTCTTTTAATACCCATCTCTCCAACCCCTAACATTTAAAGGGAAGATTCAGAAAAAATGAGGAGAAGGAAACTGAACCTCTGGCGTTCAGGAAAAGGTCAAATGAAGCACCGACTCTCTTAAACTGAATCCAGAACAACTGACCTCCAACCAAATAACGAGATTATTAACATTGCCATTTGAGACAGCCTTATTTATTAATTCGGCCGATGTTTCTAAATGTTAGAAAACAAAAGACGACGCGCGACGTCCACTGCGTTGTCAGTAGACGAGGCCCAGTGCTTTGCGATCTCATTGAGATGTCTGTGATTTTCTTTGCGGGCATCTTCGTTATTCTTTTCCTTGAAGCCCTGAATTTTTCAATTCCAGCGCCGTGTCGTTGATATATGATATAGAAATATAAAAACAAAATAGATTTCTAAGTCTTCATTATATTTTTATAGTATTTAAATGTAAATTAGCTACCTACATTGCTAGTTCATATAATATATAGTTACAATACATAAAATACATACTTTTACTGCCAAAGTTTTAATTTATAGGTTTTATTTTGTATTATTTATACTTTTTGTTAAGACTCTTATTTTGAAGGTTTAAGGTAGGAAGTAGATGTAGAAGCGTCTGGTTACCAGGTTACCAGAGACGCTTGCGATATAACAGCATCGCGTTGGCAAGCAAATGAAGAAACATGATTTAAGTGTAAGAATTTACTGAATGACCTCATTTCTACCTCAAAAGGAAGGGTTAGCCAGCGAGGTATGTTTATATGTTTTATGTTATTTTTATATCGATATTGTATTCTTGACACCATCTCACTAAGTTTACGTTGTGTTTTAGTTCGACGGTGGTGTTGGTGTCAGGGAAACTGAAGCTGTAATAAGAACAACTTTAAAGAGTTTCATTAAAGCTGACTTCACACCAGCAGTGCGACGAACTCTTAATTGCCAAAAAGAAGAAGAGGTGGAAGTGATACATACTTATATATAAGTTATTAATGACTTATTTTAACTGAGATGAGTCACTTTGAAAATATTTCAACTTCAAGACAAAAAGGAACCAACTAAGTATTCAAATGCGGGGCGACAGAGAGTTTGCTTTCCGGGTGAGCGACGCTGACACGCGAGTGGACGACATCAAGAGGAGAGGTCTGATGGTGGACGCTGGTGCGACGTCGCATATAATCACCGACATCGGGAAGTTTCGGAAGCTTGATGAAAGTTTCCAGGCCGAGACGCACTGCGTGGAATTGGCTGATGGATCCAGGTGTTTTGGTGTTGCCAAGGAAGGAGGAGACGCGTTAGGTCGACGTCTTGCAGTGCTGAGGAACAAATTGTACATCCCTTCATATCCGCAAGACATCTTCTCAGTGAAAGCTGCAACATCCAGCGGAGCAACGGTGATCTTCAAGAAGAAAAGAACGTTCTTCTCAGAGACGATACCAAGTTCCCCATTCACGTAGGTAACACATTGTATTACTTCCAAACGACGGACAATGGATGTGGAGCTCAGTGTAAAAAATGTTATGACTTACAAGGTTGGCGTGAGATTCTTGGACATTGCAATTACAGAGATGTACTGAAGCTAGAAAATGTTGTTCATGGCATGGAAATTAAAGGGAGAGGTGAACCAATGCCATATCGTGAAGTCTGCACGAAAGGAAAATTTGTTCAAACTAACAAGGCCAGATGCAAGCTAAAGAACCACTAGCAATGGTCCACACAGATTTAGCAGGACCTATAGATCCAACGTCCAAAGATGGTCACAGATATGCATTGTGCTTCACAGATGATCATTCCTTAATCATACGTCACAGATTGACGTCAAAGACCTGTCGCCCTTCTGCGTATGGCAAGCCTTTTTGATATAAAGTCGGTTTCACTGCACTTACATTCCAGATATCTCAAATTGTTTTATGACCAGACGTTTTAGCAATTTAAGATATCTCTAATTAAAATTTGACTGGACAAAATACCTATTTGAGATAATTACATTCTAACCAGTCCAAATGACGTGAGATTTATTTGTGGCATTTACTGAAAATATAAAATTCTGCAGGCAACTATTCGGACAGCACAAAGGGGCTTTTACCTCATTCAGAATTCAGATATCTAAAATTGTAATTTTGACTGATAATTACGTTCAAGAATCTTAAATCGTAATTCCGGTTACGTGTCTCGTCAAATTACAGAACAAGTGACGTCATTTGAGATATCTTGCAAGGAATTTTGACCAGTCAAAATGTAATTGAAGATATCCTGAATTATTATTCTTACTAGTCAGAATGTAAATGCAGATATCTTAAATTATCATTCCGGAGTCAAAATGTAGTTTTGTCAAGTCAAAATGCATTTTTCGAAATCTAGAAAGTAATTACGGTTAATCAGAGGGAACGCAATTTATGTGAAAACGGCTTGCCATAGGACACTTGAAGCCCGCATCATACGTCACAGATTGACGTCATTAATCGACTGAACCAGAGCCTTTGAATGTAGGCCCTCAGTCATTGCGTCACGAATGATTTTCCTTTGCAGGGAACGTAGACAATACCCATCAAATACAAATTAGATGTAGCTATAGATAGATATCTAGATCGATATGCACGTCTTTCTGTCATCTGTCTGTCAAGAGATATGTGATCGATAGACGTGAATATCTATCAAGACATAGTTATCCACGTCAATCTATCGATGTGGATATCTATGTCTAGACATAGATATCCATATATCTATATATCTATAATCTAATTTGTAGAGACCCTGGAGGGAGAATCAGTCGCCGAAGACCCTGGAGGACCCGTCGCCGAGGACGCTGGAGGACCGAACGATGAGAAAATCGATGAGAAAACACACTGATAACAGAGGCCCATTGTGCAGAACATTTTATATCACGTTTAACTGTCTGGTCTATTCATGTAGGGGGGCATTTTAATTTCTGAGCCTGCACAGCTTATTATTAGCCTACCGGTTTACGCTAAAAACCTCATAGCGTAGTTTATAGTAGTCACTACCAATTGTGCAAGTTCTCCCACTTAAAAAGATGAGAGAGGCCTGTAATTGTCATCATAGATATTCCTCAACTATGAGACAAAAGAAGAAAAAAAATTCAGATTGTCTGCTTTTTGTTATTTTTGGTTTATTTTGATTTTTTCTTTTTTATAATTCCATTTGTTAGTGTTATTTTGAAACAATAATCCTGTGTATATCTTAGTCGTCTAATCATCCCTTTATGATGATGTCTGGTATCACACACAGATACTA